GTCCAAGCTTCCAGACCATAAAGAAGAGTAGAGAACACGTAACATCGAAGCATTCTCAGGCGTAGTTCTAACCTTATATCCCGACAACAAAGAAACTTTTTAAGTTTAATAAATGATGTACGTGCTATTTCAATACGTGTCTTAATTTCTTTGGTTTGGTCTACATCTGATGTTATCCATGTTCCTAAGTATTTATAGTTATTAACATTCTCAATTGCAGTATCTTCAATAGTCAATTGGATATTTGCATGTGCAGATTTGGTCATGATCATGCATTTAGTTTTCTTTAAATTTATCTTCAGTCCGTACTCATGACAGCGTTCATTAAGGCGTTGCATTAGGTTCTGTAAATCATTGTTGTTATCCGTAATTATTACTGTTTCGTCTGCAAAACGTAAGTTATTCAAGACTTCTCCATTGATAGATAATCTAAATCTGATTGTCCTCCCCTGCCGGATCTTGGATTCCGAGCTCCATGATCATTAAGTAAATTATCCATTAGTGGGTCCATGATAATTTTTACTAAGGATATCCTTACGGATCTTTAATGTGGTAGTCATCCCCTGGCTTTCCACATCTCAATGCCGTTGACTAATTTAGTTCTTCCGCCTTCGGAGTTAATTTCTATGCTCCAGGGCAATGAAGTGCCCTATCAAGTGTCGGTTCTTCCACCCTTAGCTGTTGACCAACAGGTGGGGGATTACTTATACCGATAATCGTTCGGTTAATTTAGCAGCTCTAGTATCCAATAATATACCGATCCAGGATCATTTCCCTTACGCTCTATCTTGGTACTGATGCTACTGTCTGACAGAGTAGGATATAGGAATGGAAGCTTTGGTAATTAGATGGGAGAATGGGTGCAGGGCATAATTTCTCCCAGGTACCAGGAGATTGGGAGATAATTCTGGCTCACGTGGGCAGGGTCGCATCCCTGAAGTACATCTATCTTCTACCGGGAACGTAAAAGAGTATCTACCCGCTACCCCAATTTAGACCCGTACTCCTCGCTAATTCAGCCTTCACTAAACAAAATTTAACTACACAGCCAAGTCAGCAACACGTCGATTTATTTAACAGTTTAATCAGAGGTCATGTGAGTTTTACTCCTTCTACTATTTCTTCTATTACTTCTTTTACTCGACAATTTAAATGAAGTTCTATTTTAAGAAAATTACAAATGGAAAAATAGACTATATGTAGTAAGTTAATTAAGATTAATGTTCAAAATCTCATACTGAAACAGGACATATTTCATTATATTATTTATTATTATTCAATATTTAACTTACAATATTTACTTAATATTCTTGTGCAGTCTCAAGATTAAACATGTTTAACCCAAAGTAAATGTACTAGACAGTATTTTTTTGTTCTTTTAGCAATAATTAAACTTTTTCGCATATTTTTTATATTTTTAATACAGGTAATCCAGTAAAACAAGAGGTAGTTATCTGAAGAGTTTAATAAGACACATCTCTTATGTTATGATAATAACTTTAATATCTTGATATAAGGTTGAATGCTTGAGTTTAATCAAACTTTAATATCTGTTTGTATCTATCTATCATTTAAAAACAGTGACGACTTCTTTTTTTAAGAGTTCTTGGTTTACATTCTTTGTCTGTTTACTGCTTTAACTCCAACAAAATGATCGGGTTCTTATACTTGTACATTCTTTTCTTAATTTGTTTTTTGGGGAGTTTAATATTCCATAGTTTATGTGTTTTTTCAAAGAAGTTTTTTAACTTAACTTATAAAGAAAAATAATGTGGATTTTTTTACCTTTTAAGTAGTAGTGCATTTTGGCTACTTGAACATAGCTCTGAGGATGACTTTGTAAGCCAAATACGCTCAGCTAAGAAATACATTTTCACACACTTCAAAAATACATTTCATTCTTTGATCTTTCTTTGTTGTTTAGTATATTTTCTTCCTTACGTTTTGCACTTCAAATAATGACCTTACCCATAATCTACCCAGCCTGAGCAACGGTGCCTTCGAGTCTATTATCTATCGGTCTTCTAAGATTAATTATTCACAATCTAGATCATTAGGTATGGTATAAAATTACGATCAGATCAAATTGCACACAATTTAAATTCTAGAACGTATCTGCTATTGAAATGTTTTGATTAGAATATGATTTTAACACAAAAGGTAATTTTTTTAACTAATTTCTTTTATTTTATCAGTGGTAGATGGTTAATGCAGGAAATTTATTCCAGGACTGGATAATGAAGGAAATAAAAGATAATGTAAATAAGCACAGGCGCGTCGAATTTAATTTTAAAGATATTGTTAAATATAACGTTACAGCTCTTTATGGTTTTGCCTTTATGATACCAGATATGACAGGGCTTATGAGCTATTTTTTATTTGGATTAAGATTTCTACTTTATGTAGGTATGTATGTATTACATTTTTTTAATGAAAGAAATTCACAAAAAAATTGATTTATCTGTATTTTAGTCATATGTTTATAAAAACGAAGTAATTAATAATCAAAAGGAAGTACACTAGAACCCCGATTATCCGTGTGTGGATTATTCCGGGCTGCAGATTATCCGTGCTACTTAACATTGAATTGGCGTTTTATCAGAATGATTTCACCGCAAATTACTACGCTGTGGAAAAGGCGCATAATGTAATATCCATAGAGTCAGTGCTCGGGAATACCTGGAAACCGAAAGCTTATACTATGCCGCTGCGGTCGCGAGTGTTACGTCGAATGTGTGAGATTTAGTACATATTTGTGGCAGCCGTAGCTCAGTGGCTATGTTACTGGCTTAACAAGCTGGAGGGCCCGGGTTCGTATCCCGGCACCGACAAAATTTTCAAATACTAATTAAACTAAGCTGTCACTGTACTTCGGAGGGCACGTAAAGCCATCGGTCCTGGCTACGAAAGGAGTCGTTGTCATGTTAGGGGCGCTTGCGCGACCTAAAATCCCTAACACTAGACCTTAGCCAGAAGGTTACATGAACTTTATTTTACTTTAGCACGAGTACATCTTTACATAGTTGGAAGCTAGTAATCAGTCGCTACTCTGATTATTCTTATAACGTGTTTTTATTTTCAAAATGTCAACAACCAGTGTTAAACGAAGGAAAAGTGTTTTAACGATTGAACAAAAACTAGAGATTTTAAACAGAAGTGAAAAGTGTCACATCATTATCACGGAGCTACGAAGTTGGTAAGCAAACAATACGCGATATTAATAGAAACAAATTGAAACTACAAAATTTCATATCCTAATCTGACTCTTTTAATTTCAGAACCAATGTGGGATAAGCAAGCGGAGATTTTTCACAAAAATTTGAAAATCAAAGAACCTTTTAATGCATCCAGTGGTTGGTTAATCCATTTAAAAAACTCACAGATGTGAATACCACCAGGGAAAGCTTTGTACCGACGGCGAAGCAATGGTGGAATTTGATTCTAAGCTGGAGACCATAATTACAAAAGATAATTTACAGCTTTCACAAATTTGTAACGGTGACGAAACAGGATTATAGTGGCAAGCAATACCTACAATAACTTTAGTTGCAGGTAATAAGATGAAGTGCAACTAGGTATAAAAAAAGTAAAGACAGGATAACCGTGTTGTATTGTGCCAATGCGTCTGGCAGCCATAAACTAAAGCTGACTGTGATTGTAAAGTCCTCGCGCTTTAAAAATATGAAACGACAGAATTTCCCAGTTCACTATTATAACCAGAAGGCTGCCTGGAAAACTTGTGACATTTTCAAAGATTGGTTCCATGAAAAGTTCATTCCTTAAGTAAAGTTATATTTGAAGAAAGAAAAATTACCACAAAAGACGGTTCTTCTTCCCAATATTGCTGGTGCTCATCCCAATGAGGCGACCCTAAGATCTGACGATGAAAATTTCTTTGTACTTTTTTTTCCAGCCAATATTACATCCATTGCTCAACCAATGGATCAAGGTATTATTGAGACAATGAAACGTCTCTACCGAAAAGAATTTATGATGAACTTGTTGGATGAAGTTCATCTGATAAAGTTTTGGAAATCTTTTACCATAAAAGATGCAATTTTACAGTTGCAAATGCATGGAATGAAGTGAAAGAGACCACTATCAAAAGAGCTTTTTACAAAATATTGACGCTAGAGTAAGGTGAAAGTATCATGGAATGTGATGATAAAGATACTATCATAGCCGAACTAATTGCACTAGTGCGCAACGCCACTACTTAAGAACTACTTAACTTGATGAAGGTACGAAAAATTGGATACTACGGCCATATTCTGAGAGAAAAAATCACATCACTCGATAATCATCAGGAAGATTGAATCAAGATGAGTAGTCACAACAAATGTCGTGGCTACGGAACAAAAAGAACTGGACAGGTATAAATAACACTGGCGATCTTTTGCATGCCGCAAAAAACAGACGTCTGTCCTTAAGATAATACTTCAACGCACTGTTCAATACCAGTTCAATAAAGGCGCTTGCTTAAATAAATAGATATGTATCAAAATGCAATTTTAGATACCCTATTTCGTTCCTTTTATCGTCTTTTTTTTTCTTATAATTTATAGAAGGCACAGATTTAAGTAAAAATCTGAAGTTCATTTTCAGTGGCGTCTTTATTGAAATTATTTTATAATTACTTCTCTTAACAGAAATATCCTGTTAGAATGAAATACGTATAATTAAATATACAGGGGCACTATACGTGAAGTCAAATCTTAACTGTCTTTTTCTTTATTTATTTTGTCATTTACTCTGTTACAGTTTGTGTTTATATTTGCCAACTTTCAAGCGAAGCCATCAATTTATTCAGTATAAAAGGAAGCGTATCTGAAATAGCCTCAGCATCTTTTCTATGTTTGACACATATGGTACAAGTGGTCAAAGTCTTTTATTTGTACAAATATATTGGAAGAATAAAAGCACTTATTAATTCAATAAATTGTAAAGAATTTCAACCGAAGTCAAATTTTCAACGAGAAACTTTGGAATCTTACATTAAAATGGCCAGGTTTATTACATTAAGGTAAATATAAATTTAAACAACTTTTTGTAATTTTCTTAATAGCTTAAAAAATAAAAACAGAAACATAAAAAAGTACAAAGTAATTACATATTAGCTATTTTATTGTTGTTTATTTCGAAAACTTGCAAAAAAAGCTCAGAATTAAACGAACTCACAAGAGCTGTGAAAAGACAAATTTTGGGGATATTATAACAAGGCAGAAAGACAAACTCGTGCAATACTGCGAAAACAAAACAAAAAGCGCTGTCGAAAACGCTTTAAAACTAAAATGGTATGAATCACATATTTCAGAAACCCCATAACTCCATTTTTATAAAATGTTGAGAAATTAGAAAAAACCTTATTTCATGAAATATTTTTAAAAACCTGTTGTGCTTTTGTAATAAAATCATGAGATTAATGTGTTTTAATCAGTTTGCATAAAAAGTGGTGAATTTTAGCTTTATATTATGTTTTTTTTTCCTTTTTTACTTTTGTGGATTTTTGGGGTTTTTGAAATATACACATTTTTCAAAGATGTAAAAATAAGAAAACAAGTTTTATATAAACATTTATTCAAAAATATGGGCATACAGAATAATATATCAGTAGTAATCACTCATCTGGTTGTATTATTTCATTTGAATCTCCCTCGCATGTTGGCAAATTAAAAATTTCTCCGTAAAAGTCCTTGACTTCTTCATTATCTGGTAGATACTTTTCCAGTTTTCTCAAGTCTTGCATCTTCTTGATATTAATAGGAATATGTCCTTCGGTGTACGCTTTTCTGGTAGGGAAACTAATAACATCCTTGTTGCTATTTCGTAGCCGAAAAGAATGATGTATCAAGCCATCTATGTACTCTTTTGCAATAACAATTCCATCGTGATCACTCGAATGAATAAAGTGTCGAAAGTTGGATATTTTAAAAGCAATTTTTTGATCTCTTGGGATATTTCTGCCCAAAGATTCATTGGAGAGCATTGTCTTTTTAAAATACGTGGGCCACCATCCTTTAAAGTTCAATATGTCATCAGAATTCGGCAAAACTACAGTAAATCGGTTTAAAACTCTTGTTAGATGTTATGATAAGCTCTACATACTCTTTTAAGGTATAAATCCTGTCTGATTTTTTAATTTTCCTTTTAAGAACGGAAAAATCCCGATCACACGGTAGAAATGAATGTCCCCGTGTGGGATAATATTGTTCAATCTTTTTGAATCTATTGGTTGAAACTAATGCAGAAAAAAGTCTAACTATTGTATGGTTCTTGTTCTGGGCGGCACATGCATCAGAAAAGAAGTGAAAATGGTTAATATTTTTAAATTCTGGATTGTTGTCAAGAAAATGTAATAAAAATGATACAACTTCATTAGGCCCTTTAGTTCCTGTTCCCTCATGATACACATAGAATGTTACCTTATCATCTTTCAGATTATGAATACATAAAACATTAACAGTAAGTTGTCTTAAATAGAATGTTTCCTGGACAGGAATAACTGGTAGTTGCAGGTTTTGCATATAATCAATGCAAATACCACCTACATTCTCATCTACTTTACAAAGTTCTGAAATGGTTTTAAGTTTGTTATAAAATTTGTTTGCCCGTTTCTTATGAACCATTTTTTCTGCCAGTGCCACTCTTTTTGCTGTTTCATTTAAGAATTTACTTTTTATTTTAGTTTCTAACTCTTCACATGTAGAGCAGGTGTCGACTTGTGGGCGACCGAAAGATAATGAAAATTGTTCTTTAAAAATCTTTTGATAATATGAATATTTAACGTTTTGTTCTGGGTGAACCTCTTTAAACAACTTATACATTATAAAAATATTTAATTTTTCATTTAGATACCTATATTCTCTACTAGTATAATGGGCCGTTTTGACCGGAAACGAAGCAATATGTTGTATGATTGAATCTATAACAAGTCCTGACTTCGCATTGCCAGATTTATTTTTACCTCGTTTATCTATAGGAACTTGCCCCTCTCGTCTTAACGTGGTTAAGCGACGCAACCGATCATTAGTAATGCCAAAAATGGCAATAAAAGCTTTTCTACAGATTTTATTTGTACCTGTTGGTCCCTGAATTGTATATTTAAAAGAAGCTAGTCTATCAGGCTTGCAAGAAATATCAGCTGGTTTTTTGCGCCTTCGACGTGCAACTTCATGGACTGAAATAAGCGATTGTAGCAAACAATCTTGTTCGTTCTTGGTGTTAAGGCTCCTGAAGTTTCGGAATAATTGAATGCGTGCTTCTTCAGAAATTTGTAAAAAGCATTTTTGGCGACATCTAAAAATAAGTATCATTCAAATTACGATAATAAAATATTAGATATTGTCTAGCTAGTTAGTAATATTTTAAAGTTTTAAGGCTTACTTGCAGTCTGGTCCTTGGTTCACTTCAGGCGCCAAGACACCACTCCAGCGTTTATAGGCAGACCCTTTAACTCTAGAGTTTTTAATAACTTCTCTTTTATATTCACTGATATTACGTATTCCACGCTTTTTTTTGCGCGTTGAAGACTGATTTTCAATTTCCATTACTTAAATTATTATTAATTTTTACTGTAATAACAACTAACCATATGTAGAGATCACAAATAAATAATGTGCATAACCTCAAAAACAAAAACCTGTCATGTCAAAAATCAGTGTGTTCAAATATTATATTTTAGAAACACCAAAATTCCTGGAGTTTTGGTGTTTCTGCAATACATGAAATTTTCATCTGGCAACAAATGTATGTAAATTTAGTGAGTTTTGGGGTTTCTGTTTACTGTTAAGTGCGTATACCTATATACTACCAAAAATTACAGAAAACTGTAATTTCATAAATTTGTGATTTTTGGGGTTTCTGAAATACGTGATTCTAATGAACTCGATATGTCAAAATGGAAGATGCAAAAAATATATTAAACGTTAAAGACCATATATTATAAAGAGGTTGAACACTATTTAGACTATTGAGATTATTGCTGATTAAATCTTAAACTCGGTAGGTATGCATTTTACAGAAGAGTAATTCCAACAATAATCGACACAAGTCGGTGGGGTCACCCTCTCCAATTTGGCTGAAATTTTACACACATGTTGTACTAGACAAAAAAACATGATTGTCAAATTTGCAGACCATAATATTCAAGATGAAGTTAAATGTGTCGATAGCAATTAAAGTGAACTGTATGCTTAAGCTTAATCAAGCAATTCAGAGCGATGATGGAAATATTTATATTCTACAATCATTAACAATTTACCCATATAAATTTTTGTACTAATTGCGTCAAATAAGGACGGTAAATATACGAAGGGTTGCGTTTCATTGTTAGTGATAAATTATTGATGCAAAGTGGAATATTAATATTCCTAGCATCGCTCTAAATGGCTTAATTAAGCTTGGGTATACAGTTTACTGTAATTGCTATCGACACATTTAACGTCATCTTCCCTCACTAGAGGTCTCTAGTAGCATACTCTGGTAATTATTTTTCCTACAATTGTCATAGTAGTCGGTGAGTTTTGACTTGGTTTAAGTCTTCATACAAACTCTCTCTGAAGACGGGTAGACCCATAAACACGTGTTAGAGAATGATAAGAGACTCAAATTAAATCGAAACGCAACTGTCTTCGTATATTTATCGTCTTTGCTCTACGCAATGAGTACAAAAATGATGGTAATTTATATGAGTAAATTGTAGATGCATAGTGAAAAATAAATATTCCCAGCATCGCTCTGAATGGCTTGATTAAGCTTGGGTATACAGGTTACTTTAATTGCTATCGACACATTTAACTTCTACATAGTCTATTATAGAATTAAATACACCACTTTTTCTGTAAGATGAATTGCTATAAGATATGAAGAAAGGTGGTTTAAGTCTTCTTACAAACTTCTCTGAAGACGGGTAGATCCATGAACACATGTTAAGAATGATAAGAGACTCAAATTAAATCGAAAACGCAACTGTCTTCGTATATTTATCGTCCTTACTCGACGCAATGAGTACAAAAATGATTGTAAATTATATGGGTAAATTGTTGATGCATAGCAAAAATAAATATTTTCCAGCATCGCTTTGAATGGTTTGATTAAGCTTAGGTATACAGGTTACTTTAATTGCTATCGACACATTTAACTTCTACATAGTTTATTATAGAATTAAATAAACTACTTTTTCTGTAAGATGAGTAGCTATAAGATATGAAGAAAGATTAATTCGATCAAACTTTTTAAAATCCTTTTCAAATATAAAAACTTTTATAAAAAAGGATAAAAAAAAGATTTACACAATTAGAATAAGAAAGACCTTCAGTATTAGTTGTATGGTTTAAACCTAAATTGGTATTTTATTATTTTTTTTTTCTATGTAGAATTTCTCTTTCTAGTTTTTGGGGTGCTTGTCTTTGTACCTGCAGTTTTTGGGCAATATATCCATTCACTTTAAAAGAGCTACAACTTCCTTTAGCAGGATGGTTTCCCTTCGATACTACGAAAAGTCCAAACTTTGAGATAGCTTATGTATTTCAAATTTATACTGCAACCCTGAATGGAATTTCTAATATCAGCATTGATACTTTAATGTCAAGTAAGTATCAAAATTAATTAATCAGCTTTTAATTCAATAAATATCTCAATGATCTTAATTCCAGACGAAAAATTATAAAACAGAAATGTTCAGATGTAATCTTAGAGTTTTTTTGTGATTTCTAAAATAGCTTCCAGTCCTTTTACCCTACGTAAGTCGCGTAGGTCACACGAGTTAACTACGCCTATATTTACGCTTATTTTCCCAACATATTAATTTTAATTCTTTCCCTAATTCTAGACTACCTAAAAGCTTTTAATTGTTATTCTCTATTAAAAAATATATTGCTCTATAAGCAAGAGCAGTTGATCTTATAAATCCTATCTTTCTAAGAGTTTTTATTATGCAATGCTGTAGTTTATCAAACTTAAAATGTCTCACTGAATTTAATTAATGGAGAATACAGATATTGTAAAATTCTTGTTGGCATTTGATTTTCATGTCCTCACCGAAGTCAAGTGGCTAAATATGAAAATCGTCGAAAACTACATAATTAATGTTTTTACCATAAAATCACTCAAGAGAGAGTTCCAACATATTTGTACCATCTGTACCATCGAAAAACTTGTAGGACTGACGTTCATAATCTTAGGCACAAAAATACCCTCATTTCATCTAAACATACAACATATTTTTAAATATATGTACAACAAAACAACGTGCAACAAAAATTTAAAAATTTAATAGTTTACAATTTATAAACTTAATATATAATATTTTCATGAATCATTGAAAAATACATATTTTGTTATTTAAATATAGTTTTTCTGTCGTATCTTCGGGGGTAAGGTGGAAACCCAGTTAAATGCCGCTGTTACACAGTGGTATACAAACTAAATCTTGCCATGTATTATTATTGCCAAGACATGTATTATTATATTATTATTATTAACTACCGAACACCAATATTTCTAAATAAGTGTCCCGATTTCCTCTCTGTTTTCCTTTTAAATCTTAACTTTATATTACACGTCGCCGCGTTACTAGTTCAAGTATGTTCATAAAAAAATTGTTGACTCTACAAGGTTGACTTTAAGTATAAGAAAATGTTATGACATAAGACACGCAGTGTATTCGATACGTGTGCTTTCTTTTGTCAGTTTTCTTTTGAAATCAAATATATTGCGGTCTAATATTTTTAATAGTTTTGAATTACTGTATTTGACTCAGTATTTGCAAGATATGTACTTTATTAATTTGTAAGACTATTTAACATACTACTTTTAAACACCATGTTTCCGTATATTTTTAATTTCTCTTAAAGTTTCCTAAATTAATTTTAATCGACTTCTAAACCCTGTACTATAAAAAACACTGCTTATAAATCCCTAAAAATCGAATTTAATAGTAAAATTAAGTTTCGTAACTTTTTTTTCGCTATTTCAGGTTTAATAATGGTGATATGTGCACAGCTGAACATCCTTAACGATTCCTTGAGAAATATCCGCCTATTTGCAGAGGCTGAACTGGATCAGGCTGGCTTCACGAACGTAGCTGATAGAGATGAAATATCGCCTCGATTACAGTATACAATGAACAGAAAATTAGTAGAATGTATTGTTCATCACAGATGCATTCTGGAGTAAGCGAATAGATTTTCCACCATAATGCCGCATTTCCTCGCAAAATTATTGCATGCTACATGAAACCCTTTTTGGGGATAGGTCAACTTCCGGGTCAATTAAGGGTTCGAATTATGTCATAAAGCTATTTATTTAGCTAATCTTTCAATTATTCTTGGAAATAGATAAAGCCATAAATCGGCTTGAGCATTATAGTATAGTCACAAAGTTGATATTATTGATTAAATTCATTTGAAAGATTCCATTGAATGAAAAATTCCGAAATAAAAATTGTAAAAATGTAAATGTTTATAGATATTAATAAAATATATTCATTAACAGGTTCAATTTGGACTTGATAGACCTGTGTCAAAAAGGTGTGCCATAAAAATGTTTACACAAAAAAAGTTACAGCCCTATAAAGTTACAAAATAAAAATTGTTTATTTTACATTATCTCCTAAACTACTTGACATTTTGTAATAAAAAGGGACACGTTACTTTCTTGTTCTAAAATCATTTTTCATACAAAAGGAACAACAAAGTTTAAGCGCACAGAAAAATTTTAAGGGGATGTGCAGCACTAAATGTCCCTAAACATTATTTTTAAAACTTATTTGCCTTTTATCACTTTTTTGAAAAGCTAGTTTTTTTTCTAGTTGGCCATAAAACTACAATTAGTTTCTACGGACACAATTATTACAAACAGTTACATTAATATAAGTCAATATTTTAAAGCTCATTTATATTTTTAATAAGCATCATTTTATTGTGTGAATAAGATTAACCCCTTCCGCTCCAGGCCGTTTTTTGAGATAGGGAGCTGTATACCAGCAAAAGTTTTTTAATGAAAATACATTTTACGATAGTTATGATGTATAATAGAAGAGATATTGACCTATGGGGGCCAAAAAAATGTTTAAAGCAATTTGAATTTATATGACAATTTATAGTGTTTACCAGAATATCCACATAAGGATATTTGGGTGTACCAGTATATCCACTCTTGGATATCGATTGTACTACCAAAATATCCACATCTGGATACCATTAAAATGTATCTATGTCTATTATTTAATTTATAAAGGCACGCTAAATAAAAATAAAACATATATAAAAAGACAGTGAACAATTTAATTATATTCAGAACAAAGCAAAAAATAAAAGAACATTATTTTTATTACTTATGAAAACTTTCAAAATGTTCCGCTGAGCAAAGTCCAGGCTTGTCCGGACAAGCAATGCAACATTTTCTCGTTAGTTTACGCACTCCGCGTCTTTTACAAATTACACAAATTTTTCGTAGAGCCCTCTTTTTTCCAATTTCTTTTGGAAAATCGGCCATTGCATGCAACGGTTTCCGTGATGTAGTAGGTTGATTTTTTTTATTCATTTCTTGATATCCTTTACTATATTTTAGAAGTAGCCCCCGGCAGCAGAGTTTTGTATATTTATACATTGAAACTTGTTTTTGATGGGCTTGGCTGTAAAATACTCTGGAGTTCAATAGCATAAGATGTAAAAGGTGCAAACCTATTTTGGTGAACCACGTGTAGGACTTCCGCAAAGGACTGTACGGTTCAACATCTTGGTCTACTGCATCAACTGATCCCATATTTTGATTGTAGAATTGTACATGTTTCGGTTTGTTATAATAGCGAATATTTCCTCCTACAACATATCGTTGTCTTTCGCAAAATCCTGCAGTATGTTTACTGGTAAGCAGATAAACTTCATTGTTGTCCTTGTAGCGAACTAGAAGGAGCATATTCTTGCGAACAAAACATGATTGTTGCCTATCTAATGGAACCAATGTTAATTCTTTTGGAACGCCCCTATTTGGTCGAATAGTGCCTGTAAGGAAAGTCTGTTGTGTCAATAGAAACTCGCAAAGACGAACTGATGTATACCAATTATCTAAAATCACTTCACGATTACTGTTCAGTAGGTTTTGGCAAAGATAAACTACTATTTTCTCGGAAAAAGAAAGGTTTTCTGTTCCTGAAATGTGCGATATGTCATATATATCTTTGCCGATATATATACAAAAATTCCATGTGTATCCTCGAAGTTCAGGCGCACTGGGACATAAGGAAAATATTTTGATGCCAAATCGACTTCTTTTGCTTTTTATGAACTGTCGAAAATGGAGTCGACCTTTATACAACATAAGTTGCTCATCTATTGCGAAAACTGGTCCTGGATCTACTAAGTTTTGACAATTATCTCTAATAAGAGCCATAAAAATGCCTAGTCTGCTAAGCGGTGCATTACTTTTGGCAAGTTCTGGTGGTGAAAATCTAAGGAATTTAAGAATTGCCAAAAATCGATTTCGGCTCATAACAGATTTATGAAAACATGGAGGACCAGTGCATATATTATCTGTACTCCAATAGTCTGAAATTTGTGGACACTTGGTCAATCCACTGAGAAAATATAGTGCGATAAATACATACATTTCTTCTGTTGTCACTGGTTTATAAGTCAGACCAAAAACTTTCATGGCAGTATGTGGATTATCATTAAAATATTTATCAGCTCTTTGATCGGTCCATTCGCATAGTTTTTTAACAATATTGCTACTTACAAATGACTCAAAACAGTTTACAGCTTCCATACAATCTTGAAAGTCAATAGCTGGGTGAAAGTTATAGTCAGCACGAAATTCGGGTATATCTCTGGGAAGCTTATCATCAAACGGATCCGTAACGACTGTCCATCCGCTCATTTGTACCCCATCAATGACTTCTTCCTCATCCGTTGATGAATAATTGCTGTCTGAATCGCTCTCGAAGTCACTATTATTTATTTCATAGCTCAAATCACTATCACTTTCGAGATCCGAATCCATTTTTCTACTATAAAACACAATTACGTATCTAAATATAAACAGAACAGGCAATAAAAAGAGCACGTGCTCTCTCAACAATACCTAAAAGTGTACTAAATAAATAATATAAATTTCGCCGCTGCTTGGGTTGCCACCAGACTGAACGTCGACCTTGAGCTGTTTACATTATTCTGGGAATTTTGTAAAAAAATGACTAACCATGATATCGCCGTATGGATATCCATGTCCTACCGTAATTCAAATTAATCTACAGAGCACTACACCACTTTTACAGAGTGCAGTAATATCCCTGTATGAATATCCGTATGTGGATATCGTGGTAGAGTTCGCCATACCTAAAAATATCCATACGTGGATACGATGGAGCGGAACAGGTTAATATTAAAAATTTTGATATTACAATGGCTTACACATTTTAGGAAATGGCAGATATGCATTTAACTTTGGGTAAATTTGATTATATTAAATTATGATTTCAATAAATTATTGGGAATATCGTAAGTGAATGTCAATGAAATAGTGCAGCAGCCAGAAGGCGTTATGCAGTAAAATACCCCAATCGAAATATACCTGATAGACGATTATTTCTGATCATTGATCGTCGTTTACTGGAAACGGGTACATTCCAACAGCAAGTTGCTGGCAATAGTGGTCGTCCAATAATAGATGCAACTGATGAAGACATTTTCAGAAATTATTGAAGAATTCCCTGGAACAGGTACAAGGAAATAGCTGCTGAACTAAATGTTCCTCACGTAAGAGTTTGGAAGCATTTGAAGGATCTGCTGCTTAAACCCTATCATTTAACAATGTTTAAAGTGTTATTGGTTGAAGATTATCCTAAAACGAATTTTGCGATTAGGTTGTTAATGGAAAACACTCAAAAGGTAATTTTATTAGAAATATTTTTTTACCGACGATGCTACCTTCAGTAGAAATGGAAAAATTCATCACCAAAAGACTGTCAAAGTTAATGTTGTGGACAGGAATTGTGGACAACGATCTAATAGGCCCAGTATTTTTTTCCAATAATTTAAATGATGATAATTATTTGCAGTTCTTTGCAAACGATTTACAAGGGTATTTGGAAGACGTAAATATTGCAATAAGGCAAAATATGTGGTTTCTACAACATGGCGCTTCACCGCATTACAGTAATGAAGTCCGGGAATACCTTTGCAAACAGTATCCTGGTCGGTAGGCTGGAAGCGGTCGTGACGCACCTATTTCTTGGTCACACCAGAAGTCCAGGTCTTAACCTTGTGGATTTTTGTTTTTGGGGTTTATGAAAAAGAAAGTGTATTCTGTAAGAATAGAGGACGAACAACAATTGAGGGTTAGAATAATTGAAGCTGCGAATCAATTTTGTCAGAAAAATATGAATATTCAGCGCATTCGGTTTTCCTTATTAAAACGATACCAAATGTGTATTGAAGAAAATGGGATCCTTTTGAGCATTTATTTTAATATCATATTTATAGAGGTTATAGACATTTTTTGTACTTGTTAATTAGTTTAAGCCATTAATTTAGTTGCACGCCATTTTTTAAAGGTTTAATGAAAAGAGCCGTAAGTAAAAACTGTTTTTTGAATAATGTGTTAAAACTAAATACTGCCACAAAATTTCATTTAATGTGAACGTACTCAAAAGTTTGGAGGGATTTAAAGCTGCAAACCCTTCCTTAAAATTTTTCTGTGCGCTTAGATTTTGTTGTTTCTTTTTTATGAAAATGCTTTAGAACAAGAAAATAACGTGTCTATTTTTATTATAAAATGTCAAGTAGTTTAGGAGATAATGCAAAAAACCATTTTTAGTTTGTAACTTTAAAGGGCTGTAATTTTTTTGTGTACACTTTTGTACCAAGGTAAATTAGATTAAATCAATTTATTTTTGTCGTCGCAAGGCGTGATTTAGTTTGATTTGATGTTTTTAAAACACCCTGTATATGCTCGATTGGTTTTTGAAGATCATATAAAAGCCAAAAACATAACAACTGGAAAGATAAGTGAAGTCCAGAAATTCTGGAGTCAACAAGCTCTGAGAGTCGAAAAAATCGAAAGAGTCCTGGTTATGGCAATGTGCATGCACATTCTTGCTCTTAAGCATTTAGATTGTGTAATATCAATCTTTGTAAAATTACAAATACAAAAAGTATATTCCAAAAGTGTAGTAA